GGATCCAATCTCTCCTGTAACGACCCAACCTAATTTTGTATCTTGTAGACAGGCATTTTCTGATAGAAGTTGAACTCTCCTTGATCCTAGTAAGTCGAAAAATATTCCCCCACCTATAAGTATATCTATATTTCCTGCAGTACTGAAGGATGGATCAGCCAATTGAGGTATCAGTTCTTCAGGAATATTTCAACCCTCCATTGGAATTGAGCAACAGGGCATATTTTTTATTATCACAGGCAGAACGTGGCAAACCAATTCAATTTCAAACTGATTCACCCGAGACTTAATCTTAATTGAAATGCTTGATACGGACTGCACCTGGTTAGCTCCAATCCCACTTACCGGCAAGCTCACTTTTTGACGAGGAAGTTGCAACATGTTTGCAAGCCTTTTAGATACGAAATTTATCTGCGACCCACTGTCTAAGATTGCTCGGCACTTTCTCTCCGTGCCGTGGCTGTCAGAGACTGAGACGATAACTGTTGGTAAAAACACATGTCCGTTCGAATTATGAGCTATTAATGATGTACTGGAACAACTAGCTGTAGATTGGGGATTCTTCCCATGATTTATATCACTGATGGATTTACTTTCAGATGTATCGAATTGTGTTTCATAATGGAGCAATGTGTTGTGCTTGCGATTGCACTTCAGACAAGAATACTTTGATTTGCATTTATCAGCCATATGGAACGAAGAAAAGCAGTTGAAGCAGAGCCTTGTTTCACGGACTAGCGTCACACGTTTATTCACTGGCATTTCTTTAAACTTAGTGCACATAAACAACTTATGTACATCCGAACAACAAACGCATTTGTCCTCTGACAAATCCTTTGCCGCTAATAAGGATTTCTTTGAATATTGAGTCAAATTTGTTTTTTTTAAGTTCGTTGTTTTTGAAGCTGTCTTCAGATCATTGTCCTCTGTAGTACTAAACCATGGTTCCGTGCTTTCAAAGGCTACACACCGTCCGGCTAAAAATTTTTCTATTTCGATAAATTTTGGTAACTCAGTATTGGCATGCCGCAATTGCCACTGATGTATTGTTGATATGTCTAATTTTCGAAGAATTATAGTTATTAGCCACGCATCCCAGTGCTCTACCGGTTGTCCTAAGGCTTCAAGTACTGCGACATGATTGGTAACAAGTGAATGCAATTCTTGCAAATCTTTTGACGAACCTGGTTTCACAGGTGGCACATCAAGTATACTCCTTATGTGTGACTGAATGATTAAGCTTTTGTTGTCGTAACGATGCAAAAGTTTTTTTATTGCTACGTTATAATTTGTTTCGGTCATTGGAATGCCCTTTACTACATCAAGAGCTTGTCCACTTAAAACTGATCGAAGATATGAGAATTTTTGAGCTGCAGAGTACGTGTCCTCGTGGTGCACCAAAACCTTAAAACAGTCAAAAAAGGATTCCCACTCTAGAATGTTTCCATTAAACTTAGGAAGAGAAATTGGAGCCAAAAGTGCACGTGGTGGTTGAATGGTAGCGCTGATTGAAGCATTTTGCATTGACGAATTATGACTCTTCTCCAAATTAATTATTTCTTGCATTTCTGACCGTATGGAATAGTATTCTTTTTCAAAGGATTCTCTCTCAGCCTCCGCCTCCTCCGGATTGTCTAAGTCGATCAGCTCAATCTCACATTGTATCTTGTCAAACTTTTTGGTAATTTGTGGTAGTTCTTCTTGTCTGAACTCCAACAGTGTAATAGCATCATTTCGTGGATCAAATTTACTTATAAAAGTGCGAACGCGAGTTAAAGAACCCTTTACAACTCCTCGTTTTCTTTTCAGATCAACTAATACCTTTGCTTGAGTCTCGTCTAGACCCATAATGAGCTGTAACCTTCTTTTTCCTTTTTTTTTTTTTTTTTTATTTTACTCTTCCGAAATGTAACAAACGAATAGAATTACGACAACTATGGAATATAATACGATTATTCACACATAGACAAAAATAAATATTTTAAAATTCACACCCAGATAATTTAAAATAAGAATTCACCTACACAACATACACATAAATAAATAAAATTCACACAAAAAAATAATAATATCACGTCGAGGTCACCAAAATGTACGCGCCGGGAGCGTAAATTAATATTACGCGCGCCCGGTCGCTAATAATCCGCGTACGCCGCCTTTACGCGCGATCGCGGCCGGCACACTGTATGTATGTGTATGTTTATAGATCGGACAGCAGTGGTTGGGTTCGCCGCGCAAGTACTGTCCGACTATGTGGTGTGGTGGGTGTGTAGGTGTGTATGTGTGTTGTGTGTACTTACAATTATCGAAAGATTAATAACTGGTAACTAAAATAGTGTAAAAAATATGGTAACTATATTGCTGTATTGTAAAATAATAATTACACAGAACACAGATGTATAATAAATAAATAATAATAAATAATGGCCCTTATGGCACAATAATAATTAAATTATAAAATAAATATATAAAAACTTACGGTTTGTGGAGCGCAGACTGGCCAGCTGCAGCTACCTAAAATCTATACCTTAAAATATAATATAAATAAAAAATACAATAATAATAATAGTGGCGATTAGCGCACACACAATAATGATATAATAAAATTCACAATATTCAGTGGCGATTCGCGCACACGTAAATGTGTATAAATAAAAAACTACCGGCGATTAGCGCACATAAAAATATTATAATAAAAATACAATAATAATAATAGTGGCGATTAGCGCACACAAAAATATTATAATAAAAATACAACAAAAATAATACTGGCAATTCGTGCCCATAACAAAAAAAATACCATAAAAGAGAAAAAATGTTCGCAACGCGCAACGGACAATTCACGACGACGTACAGAGAGCGAACAAAAGTTGCGGCGGCCGTGTTAAATATTTTCGCGACCGACGACCCGGCGACGCAGATAACGCGCCGATAACGGGTAACGCGCTGGGACCCAATTAATTTAAATTCATTACTTTTCAATTCACACACAATCAACAACAAAAATAAATAAATCACAATATAAATAATTGTGCGTGTGTGTCGATCGCGGTGATATACTCGGGTCGTCGTTATTTTACGGCGGCAACATCCTCCCCCCGTTGAAAATCATCATTTTCAACTATCGTGTCTTCAGACACGGGTAAGCGACATAACTTGACTACAGGCCTCTTTACTTCAGTTCCGCTTGATGTACGAATTGTCACTACACGTACAACCTCGTCCTTTCCTGGATGCACAGCTGTTATTCTGCCTAATTTCCAATTGCTGGGCGAAGTGCAGTCCTCCTTTATTATGACTACATCTCCAACACACATTGTATCCCTTTTTGCTACCCATCTTCCCCTTACCTGAAGTTGAGGCAGGTATTCCTTATGCCAGCGATCCCAGAAACTTCTCATCAATGCTTGTACATATTTCCAACGGTGCAAATGCGCAATGGAACCAATATCAATGTTTGGTTCAGGTAACAATGATAATGGACCACCAATTAAAAAATGACCTGGAGTTAGAGCTTCTGGCTCTGAGGGATCGGTGCTTAGTGGTGTTATTGGCCTTGAATTGACGCAGGCTTCAATTTGACACAGTAGTGTGTTGAGCTCTTCCAAATTGAGGCGGCTGTCCTTTAATATGCGATTTAAATGGTGTTTTGTGCTTTTTACAGCGCTCTCCCAAAGTCCCCCAAAATGGGGAGCTGATGGCGGGTTGAACTTCCACTCGATTCCTTCAGATGCCAACTGTGAATCACAATTCTGGATATATGATGTTAGTTCCCTTTGTGCACCTACAAAGTTTGTTCCATTGTCACTGTAGATGGTTGAGCACTTCCCGCGTCGTGACATAAAACGACGTAGAGTGGCTATAAAGGCTCCACTTGTTAAACCAACTACAGCTTCTAAATGTATTGCTCTGGTCGAAAAGCATATAAAAACTGCAACCCATGCCTTTACCCCGGTGATACGTCGAACTCCACTGCGAACAACCAACGGACCCGCAAAATCAACCCCACTTACGGAAAATGGTCTGGAAGGCTGTACTCGTGCCTTCGGTAACGCTCCCATAAGAGGAGGCGTAAATTTTGGCCTAGCACGGATGCATGTAACGCATTCTTTTATCACAGATCGAGCCGTGACTCTTCCCCTCAAGGGCCAGTACTGCTGCCGTACACTCGCTAATAGTTGTTGTGGACCACAATGGAGCAATTCTCGATGTCTATACTTAAAAATCATTTTTGTTACTTGATGTCCAGCTGGAATAACTATTGGATGCTTTTGACGCTCCGTTATTTGAGCGTGTCGTAAGCGTCCACCGACTAAGATCAAACCATTTTCTAAATACGGTGAAAGACCATTTAACTTACTGTTGCTGGCAACATAATCTCCTTTTTCTAGACTCGATATCTCCTTTGCAAACGTTTCTTTCTGTAGTTGCCTTAATACTACCATTTCTGCTGCTTTCAGCTCGGATACGGTTAAGTATTTTGGCACTTTCAAGTCCTTTCTTGCCTTTAGATAGCTTATGAACCTCAAAATCCATGCCACACCACTTCTAAGTCGCTGCCAATCGGAATAATACTTAAAAATGTTGCTTAATGGATTCACTGTCAACAATACTAGTTTCACTTTACGCTGTTCTGGTAATTCTTGTATTTGATTTGTGAACATTGATTCCTTCCATGCATCTGACTCTGATTCTAACCAGTGTGGTCCCTTCCACCAGATGTCCTTGTTCTGAAGTTCTTTCCCCGATATCCCTCGTGTTAGAATGTCTGCTGGATTATCAGTTGTCGAAATGTGTCTCCATTGCTTTGGCTCTGTAATCTCTAACACTTGCTCAACGCGGTTCGCCACAAATGTTTTTAATCTGCAAGTTTGAGAGTTCAGCCATCCAAGCACTACAGTGGAGTCCGTCCATAAGTAAAAGCTCTTAACATCTATCTCCAAAGCCTCCGCTATCTTTATTGACAGCTGGGCAAGAGTTACCGCTCCCCTCAATTCTAGTCTCGGAATTGTTGAGCCCTTTAGTGGTGCCACCCGTGTTCTGGCACAAAGTAATCGAGAGTGCCAGCATCCCATTAGATCTTTACTCCGTACATAAATTGCAGCTCCATAGGCCGCCTCCGACGCGTCGCAAAATCCATGTATTTGAACCTCCGAGGACTGGTATGGGATGCACTTTCTTGGAATGGAAAGATGACTCAGGTCCTTGAATTCTTGATAGAATATATCCCATTTCTTTTTTAACTCTGATGGCAGATTTTGGTCCCATTCAACTTTCAACTGCCACAACTGTTGCACAAATATTTTTCCTCTAATTAATACCGGTGCCAAAAACCCAAGAGGATCAAATATTCTGTTGAGGTCGGCTAAAAGCATTCTTTTTGTCGACTTGATCCTTGATGTTTTTTGCTCTATGATAAATCGAAATTCATCCACCGTTGGATTCCAACTAAGCCCTAACGATTTGATTATTTCGTCTTCACCAATTGGTAATGCAAACAATGGGTCGTTACTCGATTTACCAATGCGTTGTAAAATTTTAATTGAATTTGAACACCATTTACGCAACGGTAGATGTGCTGATTCTAAAATTGCATTAATTTGCTGCTGTAACCGACAGCAATCATCAATCGTGTCGGCACCGGTCATTAAATCATCCATATAAAAATCATGCCGTATTATTTTTGATGCTTCCGGGTAGATTTGTTTTGATTCTTCGGATAGTGAGACAAGACAATTTGTTGCCATGAAGGAAGCTGAAGTTGTACCATATGTTACAGTTGTAAGGCGATACAATTTTAATGCTTCATCTGGCTGTGCCCTCCAAACTATTCTTTGCCAGTCTTGATCTTCTTCGGCTACCTTAATTTGCCTAAACATTTTTTCCACATCAGCCGTCATAACAAACTGATGTTTACGGAATCGCATCAATATTGCAACTAAGTCGTCTTAAACAGTGGGGCCACACAAAAGCATATCATTCAAAGAAATGTTTGACGTACTCTTGGCAGATGCGTCGAACACAACACGTAACTTAGTTGTCAAACTTGATAGTTTCAATACCGGATGATGTGGAAGATAGAATGTAGCACTAGTATGTTTCTCTTCCTTGCTCACTTTCTTCATGTGACCCATTTTTAAGTATTCGTCCATAAACTGTGTGTATTGAAGACGTAGCTCTTTGTCGCGCTGAAGCCTTCGTTCGACGCTGAGAAATCTTGCTGTGGCCATTTCTAGAGTTCTTCCAATCGTATGCACTTCTGGCTTTAATGGCAGTCGCAAAACGAATCTACCGGTTCCGTCATGCTTTACCGTTTCTTTAAAATGATCTAGAGCCTCTTGCTCGTCTATACACCTTTTATTAGGTCTGGACGTGGTCGCATATATTTGAGGTTCATTTTTGTACAGAGCTCTAAAATCGCTTTCACAAACTTCACCTACAGTGTTTAAAGCTAGTAGACACGAGGATCCAATCTCTCCTGTAACGACCCAACCTAATTTTGTATCTTGTA